GGAGACCGGCAGCATCTGCCACAGCAGAGAGATGGTGCCACCTGATCCAATATTTTGCTGTCAAACTACTGTATGTATAGAAAGAATGTTTATTTTATGTGTCATCTTAATACATTTAATGTGCACAAGTTGATAAAACAATAAAGACATGAAATGTTCTTCACTTGAATTGGTGTTTTGTTTTCTCTCATAGCTGTAGCTTTTAAACGCTTCAAATTATGCATTGATGTAGGATAATAACAGGTGACATTATAAACATCACAGGGACTTGAGCTCAGTCAGTCTTGCTATGTTTTGTAAAAGCGCGCCCCCTACCGCCTCTCAGAGGGAGCAGCACCCCAATCGGAGCGCGCAGCCATGAACGGCGCAGGTCAGGCTATAAACCTGCACTTTACTATTTATGTTCACTGTACAAAATAAAATACCCATGGCATAGCTAAGTGCACTTGATCGTAGTGAACATAGAACATAAAGTTAATATTGTGGGCAGATTAATTTACAGCTAGACCATAAATATTAGGACATTGCCAAAAGGTTATTTTTCCTGCCTGTCACATTGGAACTCAAGGAAAATTCATTATGGCTTCAATTTTAAATTGAGACTATTTACACATAAGGTGACTGGTGATGGAACTACAGAAATGTTATCTTTGTCTTCCAAATGAACAGTTAGTAGCTCTTCAAAGCTGTTCATCAGTTCTTTAGTGTTGCTGCTTTATTTACTACTCTGTTGTAAATGATAAAATGAAAGGTTTCTGATTTTTCATTAACTTATAATATAATGTGGTAATATTAAGGCCTTAATGCCAATTTGAGTGTAAAATTAATACATTTAAATGTATATTTTACATTCCCGTGAAAATACTCGCCTACGTTTGAATTTCATTGGGTTTCGTGCATAAGACTAAACTCTTTTAGTTTGTTTTGTAGCTAACTTAATGTTTTGACAAAGTGGTTTTTGTTGCATTTTCCCAGGAGGTTACAAACTTTAAAAACCAGCAGTTTGTCAGTCTGAAAAATGATTTGTAGCAAGACAACAGAGAGTTTGAGGGGTTATGTGTTGCATTGTAGAATTCATAGAAACGAACCCCATTGTTTTTTCAAAAGTGTTGGCGCTGACTGAAAGCGGATATTTTGTACTTATGCAGCTTTTAAAGCTCATTTCGATCAGGTTCACAACGTGTCTACACTTTCTGCTACTGCTACAGCCGTTGTTACAGACTTCAAATGTGCCATTTCACACAGTGAAAGAACTTGTATCCCACTTAAAAGAGCACATAGTTGAAGGGCGAACTGTGACATGTCCAGTAAAAGGTTGTAAAAACACATTCACTGTCAAATCATCATTTACTGCTCACATGTCCAGGAAACATAAAGCATGTTCTGTGGATAGCATAAGTGACATGTATAGGGAAACTATTGCCCGTTCTTCAGCTATCAGTGCATGTGAAGATGCTTCCCAGAGTTCAAACGATGTCACAACAAATGAAAGCATTGAATTGACAGAAAATTTCAATGAGACTTTTCTTAGGAATCTATCTTTGTTCTACCTAAAACTGCAAGGGCAGCTTCTTCTTCCAGCTTCAACAATACAGACGATTGTAGAAGAGATGCAAAATGTGCATGAGTTGGGACAAGATTACACTTTAAGTAAACTGAGGTCACTTTTAAAAAATGACATGTGTCTAACAGATGATGCTATTGTTAAAATATGTGATTGTGTTAAGGATACAGATCTGTTCTCCGTCTGTCATCAGGGACCACTGAGAACAACATATTCAAGAGCTCAGGCATTCAAAAAGATGTTCAAGTATATAGAGCCTAAAAAGATAATATTAGGAACTGACGAAAATATGACACAAAGGTTTGCTTACTACATACCTGTGATACAGACATTGAAAAGCTTATTAGAATCTGAATTATGGAAGAATTCAGTGTCACAACAGTCTTGTGAAATAGACTCAGATGTTTTTGGTGATATAAGAGATGGACAAAACTTCAAGTCCAACCGGTTCTTTGTTGAAAATCCAGGATGTCTGAAGCTAATTCTGTACCAGGATGCTTTTGAAATTGTCAATCCCCTCGGCTCTGCTAAGAAAAGACACAAAGTTGTTGCAGTCTATCTTTCTGTGGCAAATTTACCTGCTCATGTCCGGTCCAGTACTGATCACATATCCCTTGTCTTACTGTGTGGAGAGAATGACCTAAAACAATTTGGAAGTGCTAAGGTTTTCTCTGAGATGTTAGTAGATTTAAAACATTTAGAGGAAAATGGAATAACTATAGGTGGTGAAACAATCAAAGGGGCACTGTATTGTATTGCTGGTGATAATTTGGGTTCACACAGCATTGGTGGGTTTACTGAAAACTTTAGTCGTTCTCAGTACTTTTGCAGGTACTGTGAAATCACACAAAGTGAGTTTCAGAGTGATGATCCAAATGTATGTGGTCCACAGCGCACACCTGAAAGTTACGATTCTGCCGTTGGTGATCTACAAGCTGAAGACTGTGGAGCCATCAAAGGCATAAAGGTAAATTCTGTTTTCAATGCTCTGAAATCTTTTCATGTTTGCCAGCCTGGTCTCCCACCTTGTTTAGGTCATGACATATTTGAGGGTGTCTTATCCTATGATGTTGCTCTGTACCTGAAGTACTTCAT